GGTGCATTGTATGACGCCTGCAATCGGTCGACAGAGGAAAACACTACTAGCTTACAACACGATCAACCTTGCAAACTGATAACACAATCCTTAGGATCACAAAAAAAAAAAAAAAAAAAAAAAAAAAAAAATGCGGTTGACGATTCATAGTGAGCATAAAACGTAACCAGGGTCGTGAGAGTAAAAGCCAGAACCAACACCAAAAAGCTCTCAAGTTGTCTTTTGTCAGACACCAAGGCAACAAGTGTGCAATCAGGAGTTTTGGATGCAATATTCATCAAGGTCCCTGCTGCCTCAAATTGTCGATGTCGGAAATTGATCCTAAATAAGAACTCCACAAACGGAATGATGATAGCCCCTGAACATGCTAGTAGCTTGAGGACGAGATTTGCAAAATCTAGACTGGCATGCCACCCTTGATGCCACCGCAGCAGATGTTGGCATCTTAAAAAGTCAGTGCCGCAGCGACCGTTGCAGCACGAGGAATGTCGACCATAGTCGACGGAATTAGAAGGACAGAACATCCTACTTGCCGCTCCACTGTAGCCACCAGAAACAACCGCACCACACCAAATCACGAGCTTGCTAGAGAATCAGGGGGAAGGAAAAAACAAAGACCAAACCACGTTGAGAAAAATTTGAATAATTAGTCGCTCTGTTGCTCCAGTTGTAGCGATCGATGAACTGGACAATGGAATAGAACTCTTGCCGCCGCCACACGCCGCAATCATCACCGGTGTTGCAAGAACTTGGAATGAGAAGCATACTTGTATAGAACCGACTAAGTCCATCGTCTATCAACTAAAGAGGAAAACACAAACAAGAGCCGCTGGATGTCAAAAAAAAACTCTAACTTGCAACACCAACTCCTTGCTGCTAGTGGACCTCCAGGAACACACACACCGCCACTTGCTCCAGTGGCAGCATAGCCCCTTGCATCCGAGTACACCAAACCCAAATGCCGGACCACCAACACTAATTCGAGGAAAAAGAGAAATGTCGACAATCCTCTAAAGCCTAGCTGAGCAACAACCTTGCAAAAAACTACTCTATCCCAAAACAAACCAAGACGAACAAAAACAGTGAAGCAAGGCTCTAAAAAAAACGGAGCTCTGCAGTAGAGCCCAAAAAATAAAAAGAGAAACACTATTGCACCCCGATCGACCCCTATAGCTGGAGTATTGACAGCTCAGGAGAAGAACTGGATGGGAGACCTCTAAGAAAATAGCAAGCTAAAAAAAAACACACAAGAAGGAAGGAAAACAGGCTCCATGCCAATAAAAGTAAATTAGAATAGTTTTTAATTTTAATTTTTAATTTTTTTGTTATAACTGCTAGGTTTTTTTCCTTTTTTTTCTATTCATTTTTTTTATTCTATTTTATTCATTTATTTTTGAAAGAACTATTAATATTTTTTCTTTTTGAAATGATTTGAATCAAAGATATATTCCTAACTTTATAACCTAATTAATTAATTCAACAACAATTAAAATTACTTCTATTGGCTTATACATTAATATTAGCTAATTATATATATATATATATATATAGTTATTTTGAAATTATTTTCAATAACTTCTATAGAAATTACATTTATACAATTAACATTTGATTTTTCTATTTGTCTAAGAATTCCTACACTAACTCACAAATTTTGTGATTTTAAGTACAATAAGTGTATTTTTATCCTAATTTTATAAATAAGTCATTTTTTGAAATTACAATAGGACCTCCAATACATGTCTAGGTTGCAAGACAAGTTTCTTACATATGTGCTATATGCCCAACTTGTACCATAAATCACTAACATATATAATACATTATTGTATTATGTATGTTCTTGCTTGAGAATGCACTAGGTACCTATCTCTAGAAGATAAGTAGAAACACAACAACAATCCTACCAAGTCTAATAAAATCTTAAATAAATTTTAACTAAACCTTAATAATCCTAATCAAACTTCAATTAATCCAAAATAAATTTAAAAGAAATTACAAAAGAAACACAAAGAAGTCCTAAATTAATCTAAAAAAAAAATACAAAAAAACTTAAAGAAGCTTAAATCCAAGTCAAATCCTAATTAAAATCCTAATTAAACTTTAATTAATCCTAGGTCAAATCCTAATGAAATCCTAATAAAATCTTAAATCCTAGATCAACTTTAATAAATCTTAAAAAAATCTTAATTAAATTCTAATCAAATCTTAATCAAATCCTCATGAAATTTAAGATCCTAAATAAATCCTAATTAATCTTTAATTAAATCCTAATTTTTTAAAAAAACTCTTAATAATCCTATAACAGATTAAAAATTCAATAACAAATAATTGAACTGTTGATTTTGACTAAAGTTTTCATACTTTATTATAACTAAGTTAGCAATAAGTATAAAATTTTTGAAGAAGATCGCACATACTAAATAGCTGATAAACCCTAAAATCTACTCAAGTATTGGTTGGCTTCCTTCTTCAATCTTGATGCCAATCTTCTAAAACCAAAACCTCTTAATTCTACTATTAAATATCTTTCAAAATTTATATATATATATTGAAAATCAAGTCTACTACCTATACACATAAATTTCACCTTAATCCAACTTGTAGATTGCTAAAGATCTTAAAAACCTTTATTAACCTTTAAAATCCTATTTCTAAGATCTCAACCTAGTAGAACTTCAATAATCTTCAATCCAACTATTTGATCATGCTCAAATTTATAGCATGCCATAATAACAATTATAATTATAAATCCACAAAGTATCACTTCTAGATCTACTACCAAACTTATAAATTTTTCTCAAACATAATTTTTATTTATTTTGATTTGGCAAATCAAATTCACCAAAAATAATCCTAACTTCACAAAGCTTTTAGAAAGTCATTATAAACTTGAATTGTCCAAAACTAATGTTCTTAGAAACCTTACAAAGTCTTCTTTCAAATTCCGCTCTTTGATTTGTAAAAGAATCCTAGAATCACTATAGATGCATAATTTTATACCTTGGGATCTGATTTTGACCCTAATTGGCAATCAGTCCTTTCTGGGTATCAATCTAATCTATCCTAGAGATTTTTAAGCATGACCCTATCTTCACCTTTATCCTAATATCAACCATATCAATTATTTACTTCATCAACTTTATTTTTATCAATTTATGGCCTTTCTAAGGTAATAAAAGAGTTTCTAGAGACTAAGAAGAATATTTGATAGCTAGCTTTTTTCTATTAGCTATTAAGACAAGTAAATAATCTAAAAGAATTTTATAAATACTTTCTTAATTTTTTTGAGTTCTTATTGAACCAAAATGATTAAATATTAATTATATATATATCCATAATAGTTGCTAGGGTAAATAGTCATGATATTACAATAAAGTAACTATACATTCTTATCAATAAGGAATTGAAATTATTTCCTATAATAGACATTTATATTAAACTTTTGTTATTTTTAAGCTTTTTTTTAATTGTATCTTTATTATTGTATGTAGCTCTCATTATGAATTTTTTAAATCTTTTGATATATAATTATTAAATTTTAAAAAGTCAAAAGTATCAAATTTTTAATAATAAATATAGTTAGAAAAAAAATTATTAAATAGAAGTATATATGGTGTTAATATAGATAAACTTTGCTAATGATAAAATAATTTTTTCATCATCTTAATAGTAATTGATGGTACATTACAAATATTACTCCAACACATAATTCATCTACTTTGTTTGTCTACTAATTTGAAGATGAATAACTAAAGATAGTTTTATATAAACTTTTAATATCTTAAATAGGATTTTTTGAAACTTAGATTCAAATTGAATCCTTCTATCTCATAGAATATCTTGAAGTAGACTATGACAACAATAGATATTATTAAGAAAAAATTAAGTTATTTCTTTACATATAATAATTTTTATATGTGATAAAAAAATATGCCATTCTAATGAAGTACTCTACTATTAAAATTATAGAGTCATAAGAAATTGAGATTAAAAGGTTAATGATGAAATCTATAATAAAAAAAATACCTTGATTGTGTCAATATATATATAATGGTTGAAAAAGTCTATAAAGCTAGTAATAAAGATTTTTTTATCTTAAATACATATTATACTATTGTATAAATTTTTTGATTGACTTCCAAATTTGAGACTATAAAAAATTCTTTGAGATTAATTTCAATCTCTTATTATATCCAAAATGTTGTGCAATTCAAAAATTATAATAAGCTTAAAAAAATGTAAGTATTTTTTATCTTTTAAAATAAATAAGTCTTTTTTAAAATAAAAAAGATTATTCATGAATTCAAACTAAGAAGTACCATAAGATTTAAAAAGATTATATTTAATATGATGTTAAAGAAGACTTTAAGATATATTTATATTATTATGAATAAATAATTTTAAATAAATAATAAATATTTATTTTATTGCTCAAAGATGAAATTATTGTAAATTCAAATAATTATTTTTTATTAATAATAAATTTCATTTCTTTCTTTTGGTGCAAGATAAAAATGCCTCTATATGGCATTCAATAAATCTTATTTTTTTTTTTACCAATAAATAATATTAAATATAAATCTTAATAAATACATGCTTCAACATACTTGTTGATAATTTAAAATATATGTTGTCGTAAAATACTTAAATTTCTTGTGATTTTTATGCATAATTACCAAGTTAGAAATGTCTTCTTAATAATAATGTAATTTTTAAAAGAAATTCATAATTTCAAGAATTTTTTTGTTTTAGATGTCATAGTTAAACTTGGATACTAAAACATTTCTTAAATAAAAAGATAAAAAATGAAGTTTTTCATTTTTTCTTGTATTTTATAACATTCTATTCAAAACAAAGTTCAATAGATATTTTTTTATAAAAATACTAAAAAAAAATCAATGCTACATAAGATTGATATTAAAATAAAAGCTATCTTTATAACTTCAAATTTTTCTTTCGTTTATTTTTTCCCTTAAATTTTTCTTTACAAGTTAAACATGTAAATAGAATAGCAACTTCAAAAACAATCTTATGCCAAAAAAATGCCAAAAAAATTGGTGGATAGTCAACATGGAGTTATCTTCCGCCCTCAACTTCCATGCCTCTCAACTACCACTACCAGAGCCTCAGAATCCTACTCGTCACCATGGAGCACAGCAGATTCCTCTCCACCTCGGCACAACAAACTTGCAAGGACACCATGGCCTCCCGGAGATCCCTCCATGGCCGAACTGGCTGCCTCTTGCTGCTTATGTCTTTTTCGCCCATATTACGACACTACGACCCACTACAGTCCCGTTGCCCGAAGCCACTCAAGCTGTCGCCTCAATTCCAAGCTCGCAACAATTCTTGTAGCATCAAAGGCTTGGTCATCCCAGTAGTGACCGCCTGAAGCACTTAATCACCAACTCAGTTGTCACGGGAATCCACCTCAAAACGATCTCCAACCAAGTGTGCCTGACATGCTTCCATGGCAAACATACAGCCAAAAAATTTCCAAAACAAGCGACTACAAGAGCCACTCAACCTCTCGAATTAATCTACTCTGATTTAAGCGGCCGCATGGCTACTCCAACATTCTCTGGCTACGAATACTATGTTACATTCATCTACGACTTTTCCAGATATACGGTACTAAGACTATTACAAAAATAGAGCGAATGTCTATATGAATTCAAAATTTTTCACACATGGGTTGAGAATCAAACCGGCTATAAAATCAGAACTCTCCGCTCCTATCAAGGAGGAGAGTACTTATCTTCAGAATTCACTCACTACCCGGAAGAACATGGAATTCAACGTCAACTCACCACAGCTTATACACCACGCCAAAATGGTGTGGCTGAAACCAAGAATCGAACTCTCCTAGACACCACAAGGTGCATGCTCCATGAAGCTCAACTCTCTAGATCGTATTGGGGAGAAGCAGTCACCTGTGCTGCGTATATACAAAATCGACTTCCCACGAAGGCTATTCCTTCTCACACCACTCCATTCGAGATGTGGCACAAGCAGAAGCCCGATCTCATTCACATTCGTGTATTTGGAAGTCGATGTTATGCCAAAATCCCTGATCCGCTCCGTGTCAAGCTTGATGTAAAAACGGAGGCTTGCATATTCCTTGGCTATAGCCCGGTCAGCAAGGGATACAAGGTTCAACTCCTCCGCACCGGCGCCACCGTCGTCTCCAGGGACGTCATCTTTCAGAAGGAGCCTGCTCCTCCCCGCCAACATGTTAAGGCCAGCCCCTCACCCGATGCCAGACTCCAGGAAGACCCACATTTCTTCCTTCCCAGCGGGTCGCAGCCCCCTGCCACTCCACCTGCGCGTGTATCCACGCGTGAGCCCCAGCACCCTCTTTCTGATGCTCCGCAGGTGCCGTCGGACCAGCATCAACGTCCTCCTTCACTACCTGTCACGAATCCTCTTGATGATCACCTCTCGTCTGCTGCTCCGGAACCAGATGCTGCTGATGGCCCCAGCCCGGGGTTGAGCAATTTTCATTTTTTGCTTCCCCTGGCTCCAGATTCCGCCCGTGCTCAGTCCCGACTTGAACAATCCTCCTTGCCCAAGGTACCACCACTCCTCCCGGCTAGACCGTCCCCGCGGCATGACGTCCGGTCTCCCACCGGCTTGGCCCTCATGCCTCATTTAGGACACCACAAACAAGCTCCCAGCACGGACCATGTTGCTGACTCTCCTGTTGAATCCCCGCATGGAACCTCTCCTGTACCCGTTCGCAAGGCTTCTCGCACCAACAAAGGCGTACCCCCGCCCCGGCATGGTCTGCCGCTTACTCAAGACCCTCTACGGGTTGAAACAGTCTCCCCGAGAATGGTTTACGGTCATAAACAAATTTTTACTTACCCTCGGCTTCACAAATTCTGCTGCGGATGGGAATGTCTATGTGTTACAGAACCGCTCTGACTTCGCGGTCCTCACCCTCTACGTCGATGACACTCTCATCGCGGCGAACTCCCTCCCCTTGCCCCATTCGATCAAGCGACAACTCAACTCTCGCTTCTTACTCTCCGATCTCGGCGAAGTACATCACCTGCTCAGTTTACAGGTCACTCGAAATCTTGATCACGGATGGTTCCGAATCACACAAGCTCTTTACATCACACAGAGGCTTGCGGAATTCGGTTTCCTCGCCTCCAAACCTGTGTCGACCCCGCTGGCCCCTGGGACTCATCTTTCAGCGGCCGACTGTCCGTCCTCCTCTGCCCAAACTGCCCTTAATGCTGCCTTCCCCTATGCGAATGCTGTGGGGTCGCTGAACTGGGCCAGCTTGTGCACTCGCCCGGATCTCTCGTTCACGGTCAGCGTTCTTGCTCAATATATGCACAACCCGGGCGATGCCCATATACGTGCATGTAAACATGTGGTTCGGTACCTCCGCGGCACTATCGACCACTACCTGGAGTACCGCCGCACTTCTACTGTGCCGCGCCCTCTCTACGGCTTCAGCGATGCCGACTGGGCAGGCGAAGTGGATCAACGCCGCTCGACATCCGGCTACGTTTTTCTTCTGTCAACAGGCGCCATCAGTTAGAGCTCCACGCGCCAAAAGACGACAGCCCTATCCGGCATCGAGGCTGAGCATGTCGCCATGGCCACAGCCGTGTCCGAACTTGTATGGTTGCGGCAACTCCTCCACGACCTTCACTGCACCGACACCCTAAAAACGTCGACCCGTGTATACTGCGACAACCAATCAGCGTTAGCATTAGTCACAACCACTCGTTTTCACTCCCGCACAAAGCACATTTCAATCCGCTACCATTTCATACGCCAACTTATGGCTCAACACAAAGCCGAATTTACCTACTGCCCAACAGACAATATGCATGCGGACATTTTCACGAAGTCCCTCACTGGACCGAAGCTTGCCCAGCATTTACCCATGCTTGGCCTGCTTGGAGAAGAAACCCCCCGTTCGTGATGCTTTGGTAAAGCGGCCGTGTTGGAAACAATAACAGTGACAAACCAAACATAACGAACAAACTAAGTGAAACGTCGCAAATAGTCAAATAGGCGAGACCTAAACGGTCGCACCTCCCTCAAAAGAATAATAACAGTGTACACTCAATTTTTAATATCGGTAATATATTCTTTCTATCAAAAACTCTCAAGTTCACTTGCTTCTAATACACGAGTCCACATAACAAACCACAAAAAACATCACTACACACAAAAACTAGTTTCCGAAGAAAGAACAAATGTGTGCACGCTGAGCTCTCTATCCCAAATGAAACAAAGAGAGCAGAAAATGAAAACGGGATAAGCAGAGTGTGTTCTGCAGGAGACTGAATAAATTTATTGTGCGAAGAATACATAGCCCAATTGGGCCCTCATAGTCTTTCAAGGCCCACTTCTTGGTTGACTCCAGGGGACCTTGGAAAAAAGACTATCACCGCCACTCACGCATATTGTTCATGCGGCTGCGATATCTAAATTATTCAACCCGGTCCATCGATAGACTCGCTGTGTAAGAGACTTCCTAGTGTAGAACTAATGGACTTCGTACACGATGGACGACCTTCAACCTCGCCTCGTGTTGGACTTCAATCTCACCTCGTCAGTGAAGTCTTGCTTTATTCAGTTAACTACCGTCGTGGCAGCAGGACAACGCACGGCCCACCTTTATTATCTCTGGACACAATAACCGATTCTTCTTGGACTTCCGATCGCCCCATGTGCCACATCAGTGCTCAATTTGCAAAGATCCCCACTATCCTCGCATTGATCTAATGAACAATAATCAACACTCCAAAAGCCACCAAGAGACGCTCACCACACCGTCGACACACTCGCAACTCTATCTAGACGTCTGTGTCACGATTGTACAACTCCCAGTAACAAGTGCAAGTCCTGGAAGGGCTGACACAGAGAAATAATACTTCGATCGACCTATTCACCAGCTCAATGTTCTACACCGAGGTTTAACTCGACTGCGGCAATCGTCACAAGGGCACAGTTAATTGTTCTGCTTGATCCACACACCCTTGGAGGGAATTCCGTTTTGGACCACAAACAGAAGGTAGTATGTGGGAGGGGCGATGGTGTTTTCGGGGACTGCGGTCACCTGCACCGACCAGCCATTGCCCGCCTTGGTAGGCAACATCGTCTTCAGCTTCATTTGCCTTTGACCCTACGCGAAGGAGTGCATCACGTAGGGAGCGCTGTTCATGTTCACCTCCACTGCACCCACTCTTTGGCCCACAGCGAAGTTCACGACAAACACCTGCTTGTATTTGATCCGATTGGGATATCCTTGGATGGCAGGCCTTACACCATTGAATCTGGGCATCATCATCAAACAGTCCGTCAAGTTAGCTAAACGTGCACGTCGCAATCATTTCGCATAACCCGATAATGAATGACAAAGGATAATAAACAAATGTGGAACGTTGAGATTAGAGACTCACCCTGCACCCAAGTAAGGAGGAGAGAACGCCTCAACTCGCAGGTCAGTAGGATATTGTCCATTGTACGTGTAGAACTGGTGGGTGTTGCTTTCGGCCAGGAGCACTCTTCCGTCAGATAGTAAGTTTGCAGTGGAATGATACATGCGGGGAATGTTGGTCTTTGCATAGATCTGGAACTGCTTGGTCACGGGGTTGTAGTTCACTGGATTCAAGGCAGGGTTGTTGGCCTTTCCCCATCCCTGATAGCCGTTCTGGGCACCGTTGATGATCAAAATATCTCCGGTTGGCAGGTTGATCATGTCGCCCATAACACGCCGAATTGGCATGTTCTGCATAGCCCAGACGGGGTTTCCGGAGCTAGCCACGATTGTCCCGCAGCTGAACGACGCTGGGGCGTTCGCATTTCTAGCATTCGAGGCACCAGCGGCTGCACCTCCACACACCATAATCTGTGCAAACCCGAAACCTGTCTGCCATGTCAAGGGAAGCATGACAGCAGATCCAGCAGAAGGATAGTTACGGGGGTTTTCAAGAATTTGAGGATATCCCCTCACGACCTTGCTCGAGTTCCAATTCAATTGCACGAAATTCCTGTTTGTGAAAACGAAAAGATCTCCGTTTGGCAACAGATACACAAATGGGTAAAGATTGTTATCTCCTCCCAGCATATCCAAGTTGTAGAAGCCTTCTCCGGCTCTCCTCTTGGGTTAAAACTCGTAGGAAGGCGTGTTGCGTCCTCCTACAATGATTTGCTGAATACCAGAAGGCAAAAGCTGGTTGGAGGAATACCAACGGCCGGTTGCAAGGTTCTCTCCGAGTTCAATCCAGTCACAATTATCTCCAACGCCGCATGGTTGCAGGGTCCTGATTTTCCTGTTGCCCTCAAAATCACCTCTAGTCTGCACCATCCTTCCATTATCGAAGAACTGTCCCGATGAACACCACGTATCCGTGTACACATACAAAGGGCGGACCTGGTTGTTCCCTGGATTGAACATGACGGAGTGCACATAACAATCAACTTTAGAGATGCGCTCTACAGGCTGGTTGCGGCAACGACCGTTGGGGAGCTTGATGGCGGAGGGTCCTGTGTTGGTACGATCAAGCATGATGACTGTGTTCATGTGCGTAACCGCAGTATGCATTGAGGATATACCCGCATTGTTGTTCAAGAGTGCCCAACTGCCCTGGGCCGCCACAAGGTATGCACATGAGAATAAGCATTGCAGTGTTACCAAAACTACAAGAGTAGTTTTCGACAACCCCATTGTCCACGTCTCACCTGAAAAACTTTGAACTCAAGACTGAAACGCCACGTTAATCAAACAGAACTATCTTCTTCACCATAACAGACCTATACTGAACAATGCATGCACGAACGTTGATATCACTAATCAAGCAACAATTTAGACGAGATGGAACAAGATGATAACAAATTCGATCCTAACTCTATAACTACAACTTATAATCCAGTGACGGTATCGTTAATCATGAAAATCCTAGGTGCATGAAATTTGACATACATGCAGTCAATGCTAAAGCATTGGGAAGCCCTCCTGCCCCCGCAAAGCTGGCCGAGTAGTGATGATCGGCAGGATAATTGATCATTTGTAGTGCTGCCTTGCTGAAAGCCAAATGAACGTTGCAACCCTCCCAATCAGCAGGGTCGATGGTGAGGCATCTGTTTTTAGCCATTCCTACACATATGATGAGCTGTGGTAATATTGCACAGTCAATCAGTGGGCTGTAGTGGTACTGGAGTTGTGAAATTTCACATAAACAATCTAACAGTACCTGTGGCTCATTCGGTTACCAATGTTAACATTGTCATTTGCATCTGTGTCGGTAAAGGGAGTTGACTTTGGTGAGACTAGGAAGTCATGGAGCCATCTGTTTGATTGCTAAAAACAGAGATTGTCACAGGAAGTCACTGAGCCATCTGGTTGATTGCTAAAAGCAAAGATTGTCACAAGAAGTCACTGAGCCATCTGGTTGATTGCTAAAAGCAGAGATTGTCACAGCTCTCCTAATCTAATGCACAGATGCTCTAATCTCTTAACCACGGCAATAGACTTGTATCTAATTACCTAACCCAAGAAATGATTCCTAAGATTATTTCAACGATGATGTTTAAGTCATAGATGAGAAGAAACATTGTTGTATTAGATCATCTCCTAACAAAAATCTCTATAAGGCTCCAACATATGTAATCTAATAAATTTTTGTACAAGCTAAATTGTTGATTTTTAGCAAAGCAAACTATTTGTAGTGAAGTTCATAAAATATGATTCATTAATTTTAAATATTATTAATTTCTAGGAATAACAATGAATCTAAAAATTCCTTTGAATAAGTTATAGAAATACAAGAATGAGAAAACACTCTTTACAAAAAGAAGTGATATGGTGAAGTTGTTTTGTACTAAAACTAAGGCATTAATAAACCCCTCTTCATGAACATGACTACAAACAACCTCACAACTAAAGAATGGTTAAAGTTCAAGAGTTCTTGGTATGTAGTTTGGAGATAAAAGATATAAATAAAGTTCAAAATAAATGAGATGTGGGAGTTTGTCTTTGACACAAAAACAAAACCAACACCCATCTTGAATCTAAGTTAAGGCTTTTTTGTTTTGAAGATTGAATTATACTTTTTTTTTTTTTTTTTTTTTTTAAAGCAAGCAAATTATTTTGTAATAAGAATAGTTGTTACTGAAGATTATTTATTATCCAAAATCAAAGAAAGTTGAATTTGCTACTTAGGCACTAAGTTTTTAGTGAACTAGCTCAAATTTTTCTACAACTCAAAGTATAGCCAACTTAAGGATCTTTTTAGTAGATTTTTTGCTTTAAAAACATGTTGATTTCATGTTATAAGACACCTTACTAATTAAAATTCTTATGGTGACAACACTTTATATAAGTACTTTAAGTTAATTTGTACTTACATGTGATAATTAACAATGATGTAAGTGGATATGTTTTCCATAAGTAGTAAAGTGAACTCAAATGGAAGGTAGCTTAAAGAAGTAATTTTCAATAGCCGTCTATTTGACACCTTTTTTTAAGTGACTAATACTGAATAATGTTGTGAGATGGAGTTTGTTACAATGTTAGAAGTAGATCTAAATGAGCACAAAGATCAAGAATTGAAATTAGTGTATGGCTTGAAAGTGGTGGATTTAATAATTTCAAAGAAAGTAACCACATAAAATTATGGAGCTTGTGATTTTTGATAATATTGTGCCATAGCTAGGTTAGGTAAAATTATTTAAATTATGTTTGTTATTCTTTTATATGTACTTATTTGTGACAAAGGACATAGCTTGGTATATGGACAAGTAGATGTAGTGACATCAAGCTGTAGATTGTGATAGAAATCATTACAAGCTTTAAAATAAAGAGATATTAGCTACAACTTATTAATGTGGATTCAAAATTTGAATATGTCATAAGACAATCTTGTGGGTAAGTGTGACTCGGTTGAATGATTTGATTAGCATGTGTATTGTGTCTCTAATTGGTGTGATAAAAGAATTAGCATTAATATATTAAACATATATTACAATTTTTTCTAATATATATAAGTTGTCTTAGAGACATTCAGCTAGAGTAGTATTGCCACTAGTTAGAAGGTGACAAATTTGATATTTTAAGAAGATTTTGTCACCTTATTGATTGTAGTCACTTATTAAAAATATATTATTTTATATATTTAAGATATAAATTATATTGTAAACCAAATGGTGTGATCATTCACCATATAGATTTCTACCTCACCTTATTTACAAATACGAAATGTAGTGTCATTGTTAAGATAAACTTCACTGTTATTAAATGAAAATGATTCAAAATTAATAAATTGTTGCTAAGTGGTGTATAGCTTTTGTATTTACAAATAAGTTTTCTTCTTTTGTTGCTCCAAACTATAATGATTTCTTGGAGTAATTTGTCTGTATGAGAAATATATGTGCATAGAATGCAAGAAATATTTCTTCAAAAATATTTGATTTTGAAGTAAATTTTAACTTCATGCTATTGTAAAAAATATCTATAGAATTTTCAGCAACTTTAGACATATTTTTTAAATAATTTCAATTCCATTGCCATGTTTCTTACAATAAGAGCACAATGTGGTTAGTTAAAATCTAATTTTTAATTTTTTAAGGTTTTTTATGAAGAAATTCAATATAAATTTTGATTGCTACTTTCATATGCATTTGCATCTTAAAAGAGAGTTTTTAATTCAAATTGTGACTTACTTATGGCCATCTTTTCTTGAAAATAGATTACAAATGAAAACTGAAGAATTATAGTCTATATTGATTGTAATCTTTAAATCATTCAAACAATTATTTTGGCATAAACCTAATTAAAGTAAAGACTTCTATTTTTAAAGAAATGATCACACCTAAATAAAAGCATAATTAAAATAAAAATTTGAATTTATAAAAATATGACAACTATTTCTATTGTATCCATTTTTATATATATGAGATTTTCTTAGAAATACACTTGAATAAAAATTAAAATAAAAAATTAGGATATGTGTTATTTCCAATCAGCTATAAGACATTGTTTGATTTGTATCCTTTGACAAAAAAGAACATACAACATTCTACACAAATCCTAAGGCAGGTAAGCACAATATGATCATTTTCCTATTAAGCAATAATAATTGTTTACTTTGTTGGTCAAACTTTGATTATTGCATTTTGATTCAAGATGGGTGTTGGTTTTGTTTTTGTGTCAAAGACAAACTCCCACATCTCATTTATTTTGAACTTTATTTATATCTTTTATCTCCAAACTACATACCAAGAACTCTTGAACTTTAACCATTCTTTAGTTGTGAGGTTGTTTGTAGTCATGTTCATGAAGAGGGGTTTATTAATGCCTTAGTTTTAGTACAAAACAACTTCACCATATCACTTCTTTTTGTAAAGAGTGTTTTCTCATTCTTGTATTTCTATAACTTATTCAAAGGAATTTTTAGATTCATTGTTATTCCTAGAAATTAATAATATTTAAAATTAATGAATCATATTTTATGAACTTCACTACAAATAGTTTGCTTTGCTAAAAATCAACAATTTAGCTTGTACAAAAATTTATTAGATTACATATGTTGGAGCCTTATAGAGATTTTTGTTAGGAGATGATCTAATACAACAATGTTTCTTCTCATCTATGACTTAAACATCATCGTTGAAATAATCTTAGGAATCATTTCTTGGGTTAGGTAATTAGATACAAGTCTATTGCCGTGGTTAAGAGATTAGAGCATCTGTGCATTAGATTAGGAGAGCTGTGACAATCTCTGCTTTTAGCAATCAACCAGATGGCTCAGTGACTTCTTGTGACAATCTTTGCTTTTAGCAATCAACCAGATGGCTCAGTGACTTCCTGTGACAATCTCTGTTTTTAGCAATCAAACAGATGGCTCCATGACTTCCTAGTCTCACCAAAGTCAACTCCCTTTACCGACACAGATGCAAATGACAATGTTAACATTGGTAACCGAATGAGCCACAGGTACTGTTAGATTGTTTATGTGAAATTTCACAACTCCAGTACCACTACAGCCCACTGATTGACTGTGCAATATTACCACAGCTCATCATATGTGTAGGAATGGCTAAAAACAGATGCCTCACCATCGACCCTGCTGATTGGGAGGGTTGCAACGTTCATTTGGCTTTCAGCAAGGCAGCACTACAAATGATCAATTATCCTGCCGATCATCACTACTCGGCCAGCTTTGCGGGGG